GCATGTCCCTGTGGTTGAAAATGAATTCCTTTGGGTATTTCCCCAACATCAGTATAGCTGGAACAAATGGGAGCTCTCTTTTAGCTTTTTTTTTTTTTAAATGACAGGAACCCCTCTTTAGATAAGTTCCCCCAGACTACAAACACTAGCTTTTCCTGAGTCCCTCGAGGCCAAGTGCAATTAGGGTAGAATTGCACACAAATGACTGGGAGGAGCAGCTGGAACCTCAGGTGACCCTGCCTACACCCGTTTTTCTCTGAAGGAATGTCAACAGTCACCAGGCTCTGCTTGTCCAAGATGGTCTCTTGCAAGCAAGTGCAGCTGGTCTGATGGAGACGCCGGTGGTTTTGCTAAGAGGGCTGATGTGTAACAGCTGTCTGGGCATGTAAGGTGCTTAGCACGGAGCCTGGCACACAGTGAGTTCTTAGCGACAAACACAGTAGCAGGTGATGGGTTCTGCTTTTCCTCTTCCCAACCACACTGTTCCACAGCACGTACTGAAAACCTACAGAGAGAGCTGGGTGATGCCCCTTTATAAGACACAAATGTTGTCCAGATTGAAGACTGCACTGTTGCCCAGCGGTGGTGGTGGTGGTGGTGGCGTCGGCACACGCCTCTAATCAAAGCAGATCACTTTGTGTTTGAGGCCAGCCTGATCTACAGAGTGAGTTCCAGGGCTACAAAGGGAAACTTTGTCTCAACAAACAAACAAAAATAACAAACAAAAAGTGCCTTCCGGGATCTGGAGAGATACCTTAGCAGTAAAGGGTCTTTGCTCTTCTAGAGGGCCAGATTTCGGTTCCTAGCAGCCACGTTGGGTGGCTCAGAGGCACCTATAACTCCAGTTCCGGGGCATCTGGCACCCTCTTTTTGCTTTCATGGGTGTGCACGAAGGTAGCATAATGTTCATGTCAATGTACGTAATGAACACATATGTACATATAAATTTTAAAAAAGTAGCCTTGGAGGTTGGTAAAGCACTTGCCTAGCATGAGGCTATGAGTTTGACTCCTAGCTGCCCAACACACTGGAAATGGTGTTACACGCCTGTAATCCGAAGTTCAAGGTCATCTTCTGTTTCATAGCTGTTTCTAGGCCAGCCTGGACTACGAGACAGTCTAGATCAGCAGTTATCAACCTTAGGGTCTCCACCCATCTGGGGATGGAATATTCCTTTTATAGGGGTTGCCTAAAACCATTCTGCATATCAGATAGTTACAGTATAACTCATAATGGTAGCAAATTACAGTTATGAAGTAGCAATGAAAATAATTTTATGGTGGTGGTGAGCAACTGTATTAAAGGGTCACAGCATTAGGAGGGTTGAGAACCACCGGTCAAATGATAAGTTGGGGCACACATAACTGGCACTGGTGACCATTCTACAGTTTAAATAGCACCCAGAAAGCACCCAGAAGCAGCCCACTCCCAACCCAGCAACCAGGGCTCTCACAGTTGGTGTGGTGCTGGTGGCCTTTCCTGCCTGGCTGTCCATGTGGTGTCCACCTGTAAGAGAGCAGTGGCTTCAGCTGTTTAATAAATACACCCTGACCTCCAGCTGCCAGGCTCTTTAACGGAAGTGTGCTCCTGCACTGTCCCTCTTGACAACTTCTGATGGTTTCTTTAACCCCATTTCATTCCTGAAGGTGTCCGTACTCCTTTTTTGTGCTAATACTCTAGGGTCCCGGGAAGCTAAAACCTGGCTGGGAGGTTGGGTGTACCTTGTTAACCTCCATCAGACCCTATTAAATTCCCTAACTAGATTTGTAGTGATTTCCCGGAATCCCTCATTAAAACCGAGCAAATGCCGTCGATGGGGACCGGGGTGTCCCACACCGTGCAGCTTCAAAGCAAAGCACTTTGACTTCTTTGCTGTGGGGCTGAAGAGTGCTCCCGGAGCCACATGAACCTTGGGTCCACAACCAAAGCAGTTCTAGTACCTCAGGGTCTCTTTAGGGAGGTGGATGGGCACCTTCCATGACCTCTATGAGTGTCTTTACAACCACAGGCAACAGTAGAATTAACATTCAGCTCCCTGCACAGTGTCCCCATGCTCACCAGGCAGCCCACTGGGAAGGGTGGGCACGTTATTTTGATTCTGTTTCCTAGCTTGTTGCCACCCAGATGGGTCTTTTCATGGCCATCTTCTTCCCTGTCCCTCCTGCCATTCTCTTCCTCTTCAACAGTGTATCATGTAGTACAGGCTGGCCTCAAACCCCTTTTGTAGCTGAGGATGACCTTGAACTTCTGATCCTCCTGTCTCTGCCTCCCAAGTGCTGGGATGGCAGGAGTCATCCCATCCAGTTTATGTAGTGCCTGGGTTCAAACGCTGGGCCTCATAATAGCTAGGCCGCACACCATAGTCTGAGCTGCATCTCCGGCCTAAGGCCATCTTTCTTCTCCTTTCTTTTCTTTTCTTTCTTTCTTCCTTCCTTCCTTCCTTCCTTCCTTCCTTCCTTCCTTCCTTCCTTCCTTCCTCCCTCCTTCCCTCTCTCTCTCTCTCTCTCTCTCTCTCTCTTTTTCTTGGAAAATCTCACTATTCAGCTGTCATTATTCAATCCCAATTGGCTTAGAACTATGTAGTCCAGGCTGGCCTGGAACCCACACAAATATGCCTATCTACACTACCTGAATGCTAGATTTTTGTTTTTTGTTTTTTGTTTTTTGTTTTTTTTTTGAGACAGAGTTTCTCTGTGTAGCCCTGGCTGTTCTGGACTCACTCTGTAAACCAGAGTGAGCCTCAAACCCAAGAGCTCCACCTACCTCTGCCTCCCTGAGTGCTGGGATCACAGGCATACGCCACTGCACCCTGCCTGAGTGCTGAGTTTAAAAGCGTGCATGTCCCTCTCTTCCTTCCTCCCCTCTACTTCACATTTTCCTCTTTCACTCTTCTCCAGCTTGCTAAGTAATTGAGAATGGCATTGGATGAGCGGCTGACCCTCTCTACTTCCCAAGTGCTGGGATCACAAGCATGTCCTCCCACCCCTGGCTGGCCATCTCCTTCTGAGGCTGTGTGGATGGCGAGAGAGGAGGAGCTGGGCTTTGGAATTTTCCATCGGTTGAGCAGGTGTGCTGGAGCAATGACTCCTCACCTGAGGCCAGACAGGTCAGGAACCCTAAGTGAGAACCCAATTCAATTACTCTGCTAAATGGACAGAGTAGTAATCCGACTCCCAAGGCCTTACCCTAATACCCACAGATCAGAGTGTCTCTTGACCCTCATCTGAGTTCCTTCTGTTTGTAAGGAGACGGCAATTGGCAATTATCGCATAATCCCAGCAAGGGCTGGGGAGAGGTGGGTTGAAGAGCTCTTGGCATCTCAGAGCTGCCTGGGAGGTAGGTGGCTGACAAGTCAGGGCAGGGCCTCACTCCCAAGACCAGTGGGCAACACAAACTGGACTTGATAGACAAAGACAGAAAAAAGACAAAAATCCTAAAGTGGGTGGGAAGGGATGGGTAAGATGAGGGCATGGTCATGAGAGCTGGGAGAGGGGTAAACACGTTCAAAACACATTGTATAGGATTCTCAAAGAATTAAGAAAAAATTGTTAGAGCCAGCTGGGGTGGCACACGCCTGTAATCCCAGCACGCTGGTAGGCAGAGGCAGGCATAGCTCTGTGAGTTTGAGGCCAGCATGGTCTACAAAGTGAGTTCCAGGACAGCCAAGGCTACACAGAGAAACCCTGTCTCCAAACAAACAAATAAGAAAACTTTGTTAGGTAGGTCAGTATACTCTAGCATCCCAGCTCTTTGAGGCTGAGATGAGGAGACAGAGTTAAGAGTCCAGCCTGGGCTACATAGTGAGACCTTGTTTCAAAAAGGCCAAAAACAAAAGGAAAGCCATAGCCAGGTATCACACCTCCTTAATCCCACCACTCAGGAGGCTGAGGCAGGAGGATCATAAGTTCAAGGCTAGCCTGGGCTACACAGCCAGCTTGCCTTTAAAAAACAAGCAAAACAGTAGGCTGAGCATGGTGGCACAGCCTTTCATCTCAGCACTCGGGAGGCAGAGAGAGGCAGATCTCTGTGAGATCGAGGTCAGCCTGGTCTACAAAGATAGTCAGGGATACACAGAGAAACCCTGTCTGGGGGGCATGAGGGAAGGGGAAGGAAAAAAAAAAGTAAAACTGGAGAGATGGCCCAGCGGTTAAGAGCACTGGCTGTACATCCAAGAGGACCAGGCTCAAGTCCCAGCACCCACATGGCAGCTCACAACTGTTTGTAACTCCAGTTCCAGGGGATCTGACACACATACAAGCAGGCAGAGAACACCAAGATACAACACACACACACACACACACACACACACACACACACACACTAAATGAATCATTAATAAGCAAAACACAAGACAATAAAAGAAAACCTTCATATACTTCCCTTGGCTTTCTGCTTAAGACAGGCATGGGCATGCACGCTGAGCCTGGCTGTGACCCCGGCAGTGTAAGGCTGGGCAGGGTGCTTCCATGAGGCCTTAGGAACCTGCAGGCTCAAAGCTCAGTCACAGAGCCCAGGCTTCTCCAACCGTGGGATGTCTGTGCGTGTGACTAGCCTGGTGACTGGCAGCAACACGTGTGAATGCAGGAGGAGACACAGCAGTCCTCGAGCTGCTGAAGGAAGGTTCTGACACTTTGGCATTGGGGTAGTCTGGATTTCCACTCCTCTTATCACAAGACCTGTTCAAACAGGCCTCCCCACAGGGCAGGGGCACAAGGCTAATGAGAGGAACCTGGATAGTCCTTTGCAGCCTGTCCCCTAAGTGCAGGAGCTAAGCAGGGGGAGGGGTGCCTACTGCCTCTCTCCAGGTGAGGGACACACACAGGAGGACCAGGACCTGGGTCCACTCCACTGCGAGCCACATGCCCTGCCCGCACTGAGGCTGAAGGGCAGTATTGGTGTGGGTCACTACGTTGTCACTAAAGCCTGTCACACACCGCTGGGGCCCGGTGTGGGCAGAAGCAGCTAAGATTCTGAGCAGGAATTCAAAGGGAACCATGGAGTATGTCTCTTGCTCGTTCAGATCATTTATTGAGAATTAAAGGTCGGGCCATCCTGTCTGTGTGACGCTGCGACGGGAGTCGCATATATGCCAAGGAGAGTCCAGAGAATCGAGACCTTCAACAGTACAGAGCCACAGGCACAAAATCAAAATACAAGTGACCCATTCCTCCCAAGTTTGGCAGGAGAACAAATACAGTTGGAGGCCTGGGATGGAAGGGCACTTACTTTTCAATAAGGCAGTTACAAAGCGGACAAATCCCATTCCCCCAATACACTCCAGTCAGCATCACAGGCAACAGAAAGCAGGGAAGGACGGCACGTGACAGCAAGCAGAAGGGGGCTTTGTTCAGATATGCCAGGAGGGGGAAGTCACCGGAGATGCTCCACACCGAGCCCCAGGCCCACTCTGCCCCCCTTAATATCACAGTGACTTTTACCGACCATAAACTTGGAAGCAGTCTGCAATCCAATGAAATAAAGGAAAGGCACCCCCAAAGACCCGTGCTCCCCAGTGCATGAGCTCGTTCCCCCTTCAGTCTGACTGATTGGTTCTGTAGGAACCCAGAGCCAGGGCCTTCACCCAGCCTCAGAGACAGGGTGAAAGGCAGAGAACACGGACGGAGCCCTCTTTCTAAGGTGTTGGTCCGCCTTTGACATCTCTGGGCCTAATTCTTACCAACAAAAGTTCATGTTCGAGAACACCACAGCCGAGTTTTAAAAAACGGTGAAATAAATCTCATAATGCTTCACATAACTTGTGATTCTATGCTGGGCTACATTTAGAGCGAGCTATCCTGGGTGGCTAGGGGCTGTGGTGGGCATGCCCACTGGGGTTTTACAGACAGCTTGTCTGCTCCTTGGCCAGTCATCTTACTAAGCTTAGCAGGCCCTATCCTCACCTCGTTTCTCCTAGAGTTCTGCAGGTCGGTTCATCCCCAGGAGCCCAGCTGCCCTGGAGGGGCTCCTAGTGACAGGCTCTAGCATGTGCCAGGGCAGCTTACCTTAGATCACCCTGCAGATGACTGAAGAGAGTGCAAATGACTGAGGAGCATTTGCAAAGGCCCCTCACTGACATGTGACCTTGGCAAATCCCTCGGGACTTTTGTTTCCCTGATTCACTAAAGAAAAGACATGATGGGATGGCAACCTTGGGTGACTCTGAGGGGCTGGCATGCCTCTGATACTGAGACATGGCGTTCCTGGTGACGTCCACCTGAAGGCATGAGCCCTCAGCAACCTCGGGTCCTTAGACTCCAGGCAAAGCCTTGTGCTGCTTAAAATCCTCCAGCTGAAGTTTCTCCTCAGAGACACCACGAGCTCTGTGCGGCCGGCCAGCATGGGGCTAGGGCCTCCGTTGACTTAGGAGTCTTGTTAGCATGCTGGTGCCTTGCTGGCAACTTTGGCATGACTGAGCAAGGGCTGAGGGGTTTCTCCAACGTTTCCCAAGACCGATACTTAGGGTAAGCCGGGTGAAAACAACACATTGTATCCCGCTGTTTCCTTCTGGAAGAAAGATACAATGTGTGGGGGCTATGGGTCGCTCTTTGAGCAAAGGACCCAGTCCTGGCAAATTACAGAGAGCGCGGAAAAGCCAGAAGCTAATGACTGAACAGTCTTCCCCAAGAGGTAGTGAACTCTCTGTCCCTGGAGGTAGCCAAGTGTGGACTGCTTCCTGGCTGGATGGGTATAAGCAGAATGTCAGCACCAATGGAGAAGCTGGATGGGAGGATTCAAGACTCTTCAACCTTCCGGATCCTGTTACACCACGGAGAACCTTCAGATGGTGTTGAGAAGGCAACTTCTTTGGGCCTATGCCTGGGACCAACGCTATCCGACCATCACAAATCAGGCAGTCCCTTGGAAGGCACACACCCGTGCTCGCTCGGGAGACGTGACCACTATGTGTTATGCTAAGATCTGCTCTCTGAGGGCCATTATGAGCACAGCTGTCTATGGCAGGGACACGCGGCACACAGACACCAAGTTTCTCCAGATACAACCTCCACCTGGAATTTTGGGTTGTTCTTCTTTGTGAGGTTCAGTCATGATCTTTTTTTTTTTTTTTTTTTCCCTTCACAGTTTGTTCCACGCAATGAGAAGTCTGTCCCTATGTGTTGTAAAAAAAAAAATTAAAATCCCAAATGAATGGCAGGCTATGGATGTCTCCATGTGACCACCGTCAGGGCATACTGAAGAACCACACCAGGCTGGACTAGAGGCAGGAAGCCACACCACTTCTGGGCTTGAAATTCAGTTCTGCCCAGGAGCACCGAGTAGAGAGAAGACCGCGATGAGGTCACAGGTGTGTGTTGTGTGTGTGTGTGTGTGTGTGTGTGGCATGGATAGGTGATATGAAAACACAGGTAGCTGAGACAAGCACTGTTCTGTCCACTGCTCCCAAGCCAGGCCTCGGCCCTTCTTGAAGGCAGCAGGCTCTTGCCCACGGCTAAGCCAGCAGATGGGGAGAAAGGGCTGCTGCTCTGACAACACAGCAACACAGCCAGCTTCTTCTGGATCGGAGTTAAAACAGCTTTTCCCTTTCTGTCAGGCGATCTGTTTTGAAGGGTTGAAAAAGGTAGCCCTGCCTCTGCTTCTCCAAGGCTGCCTGCCTCAGAGGACGAGGATTCTGTGATGGCGTTGGGTTGGAGGGCAGATGTTCTCCAGCAACACGGGGACTTCTGGGCACATCTTGCACAGAAGTGAGCCTCTCCAGAGGAAACCAGACTTGATGCTAAAGGAACAGGGACAGAACTTACATGCCCACAGTTTTGGTTTAGGTATCAGAAAGCTACATATTCTTTCTTGACAAGACACTGACGTTCCCACAGGGCCGGATAAACTAAAGGTTCCATCTGCCCACAGCCACCAGCTTCTCCGCGGCTCTCCTGTTGTCTCCTTCTGTGGCAGGAGGGAGAGCGAGCCTTCTGCATGAAGTCTGAGGACTGACCACACCAGGGGGTGCCTCACCAGCCCTCGCTTGCAAACAGCACAGCGCTCGTATTCCACACACACCTCTTTACACATGGTCTACTGGGAAGCGGTCTGCGTGGCATGCATCCTGAACACTACTCGGAGTTTGGCTACAGGGGAACACAGTGCATGTTAGTGACAGACACTGGCGCCCTGTCCCCATTCCACAGGAGCATGGTGTTCTGCTCCACAGAAGGAACAGCATCCCGCATTCTCCACTCGCTCAGTGTAGGGTCAGGTCTGATTTCTGAGACAGCGCTTAGGGGAAGCCATCTGGGAGACATTAAGTGTCGGGCCAGGCCTCTGCTGTCCTGTTAGGGCTTACAAAAAACTCAAAGCAGTGGAATAGGAGAATGAGACATTGACCAGGATGGTTGGGAATTAGGAATCTTTGTCTTATTCCTCTACCTGTACCCTTTGCCCCACAAACTGACTGGAAATCTGCACAAGTCTTTGGATACAAAAGCTTTGCTCTCCCAGGGTGCTTCAGTTCTGACAGAAGTAGACAGAAGAGTCTGACTTGAACAATGACAGAAATTAATACTTAAAAGAGCAGTGACCTTTCTTGTCCAGGCTCATGACATCCTGCCATGCAAGGTCAGGGAGCCAAGTCCAGCCACACTGTCTCCCCACAGCTGGGCTTCTAAGCAGGAGTCCCGGGACTCCAGCAGCTCTCCTGCAGGTTGTGAACGAGAGACTGGGAACATGAGCTCAAGACACCCCATCTGTCTGTGAGAGCACTTACTGCCGGGAGTGTAAGGGGCCATGGTAGCCACCCTGCGTAAAACGTAGAAGACCCTCATGAAAGGATGTGGTTTTGTTTAGACTTTTAAAAAATCATTTATCTATTGTGTGTGCAGGTCTTTAGCCCAGGTTACCCTTGACCTCACTGTCTTTCTGCCTTGGTCTTCTGAATTAAAGCATGCACCGCCATGGCCAGCCTGTAACGTTTTTTGTGTTGCTTCTAGAATTGCAACAGATACGTTTTGCAACTGCCGAGAGGTCCTTGCTTACCTGAACTCCTTGCGGAGGGGCAGGGTTTCCTCCACCTCTAGTTAAGGAGAGAGCAACATCCATGACAGGTCTCAGTGGCAGGAGGAGCGAAGCAGAAGCTATGTGGCTGGGACAGCTCTTGGCCAACACACACTGGGTGTCCACTGTGTACATGTCACAGGGCAAGTGAGGGACCAGTGTCGAGCCGATTTGCTACTAAATGGGCAAAACTTGCAATAAAGCGGCATGCCCAGCGGGCAAGGGTCAGTCTAAACATGGGCTTACTCTGTCATCCCGCTGTCACTGAGCCATGCTGCCAGGGTTGGGCCTTGCCTGCGGCAGCCTGGTACTGCTTGGTGATTGCCAAATGCATATCACCCAGCACTTCTAGAACTGATTTAAAGCTTTGCTGTGTACTCAAGACCCGGTTTTAAAAATTCCTTTTATAATACTGTTGTTTCAGTCTGAGCAGTTATCTTAAGGTCTTTCTGCACACACGCTGACCTGTGAGAATATAATCCTCCTGACAGAAAGATTTACAGCATCCATCATTCAGACTTTATTTACAGTGGATATGAACAGTCCTGAGGGGCTGAGATGTTGCAGGGACCACCTGTCATCGAGCACCGTGCGCCTGTCCTCTCGCCAAGGCCTCCACCTCCCCAGGCCGCCTGTGTCTCACTCCAGCTGCTTGCTGCCCTCCGATTTCTGGTCCAGTCTGCTCCTGTTGCTCTTCACCATGTAGATGAAATAGGCAAGCGTCTCTTTCTCGTTCACTGGGATGTTCCTGAAGTGTCGGCTCACGGTCTACACAGGAGGAAAGCGCACAGTCCCTTAAGATGTGTGCAAATCGGGCCCTCCATCCCACACTCTGCAAATAGGGAATAGGAGCTGCTTCCAGAAGTGACTGCCTGGCACTCAGGCTTGCCAAGGAGCTGCAGGATGTAGCGGGCCCTCGATGCAGGGCTTAGCTGCTTTTTCCCAAGCACCACTGTGGCCCAGAACGACACCAAGGTATGGATATACTTCAGCAGCAGTAGCAGCTAGCCATTCCTGGCATGACTTCAGCTACCCTGTGGTGTAAAGAGGTTGGGATGGCTCTGGTCGGTTGGCCAATAGCCACCAAGCCTTTCAGGCTCTGGAAGTGGGCCAAAAAAAAAAAAAAAAGAGTTCTTTAAAAATTGTATCAAGCTGGGTGTGGTGTTGAATGCCTGTAATCTCAGCACTCAGGAGGCTGAGTCAGACAGGTCAGGAGTCCAGGACCAGCCTCAGCTTCCTTGACAACATGCACACACACGCACACACACACACACTGAAACAAAAACCACCCCAAAATGTCAAATGAACAGTTGAGACATAAGTGAATGGCCCCAAGAATTCCTCTAGGGGGGACAGCCGCCCCGGGAAAGCCTGCCGCTCTGAAGGAGGGTGCTCACTGGCTGTGTCCCAGACTCTGCTTTTGTCTTAATCCTGGAGAAACACACTTCTTCCCCTTGCCCTCCTCCTCCTGCTAGCTGGCAACGGGTCAGCAGCGAAGCTGTTCGCTGCTGTTGTGCCTCTCTGCAGGTGTGGGAAAGGCTGAAAAATGAAGACACATCAGCCTTTCAGGAGGTCCCTGCGTGGATGGAGGTGGGTAGGCAGATGAAGACAGAAAGTAATAAAGTCTATGGAAGTAATAAAGTCTATGGGGTGTGTTTTCCTTTTCTCTGCCTCTCAAATTTTCTAGCGTTAAGAGAGACGAGGAAGCCGAGTGCATGAGGCAGGAGGCGCGCTTGAGCCCCGCAGCACTGTGGATCACACACAGGAGAGGGCCAGGGGGTGTTAATAAGGGTGACTCTCCACCAGGACAAAAATAAGTTAAGAACTCAGTGAAGAAAAAGGCATTCTTTGGTGCCACTAATTATATAGGAAAAGACTTCCACTAACAGCAGAGGTCGAGAAAGTTTGTGTGTCGGGTCAAGTCTTAGAGGTGAGGGAAAGCTCACTGGTAGATGGCTTGCCATACAAAGAGTCCTGGTATTTGATCCTCACTACCTAGAGACAATCAAACCCTAAACCTAAAGGCACAGTGGCCAGTCATGCTGACACACCCCAAAGAATGGGCTCTACGAAGAACTTTGCAAAAATAATGTCATGACTCAGAAGCAGGAGGCCGCAAGTTGCGCGGCTTCTCACAAGACTATCCCTCTCTGAGCATGGCTTCTTTTGGGAAGCAGGGCTTTCTGCCCTATGTGGGAGGAGCAGCTGGGGCACGGGAGCATAGGCTGGACCGCTTTGATGTATCCACCCACCTCTGCTAGCTGGGCCTTGTTGAAGCCTGGTCTGGTCTGCAGCTTGTAGTGCCGTTTGTAGCGTCGGAGCGTGTTCACCTGCAGCTGGAACAGATCGACCTGGGGAAGAGGAGACACAGGTATGTCTGAGCTCACCCTGCCTGGCACACCCTAAGGAGGGCTGAGGAGGGAAGAAACTGCAGACACTGTCCACCAAGGACTAGTGACTGCCAAGGAGGCCAAAGGCAGCTGTGGAAAGGGCTGTGTGGGTGGAGGACGGCAGGCTGAAGCAGAAGAGGGGCAGAGGGGTAGTGAGAAAGAGGCAAGGAGGGAACGATTCTGACAATAAAAACCTGGAGTGGAGGTCAGGCTGGGCAGCTAGCGGCAGGTCAGCATGTCCTGAAGACGCTCAGGTTGGGGGAGCTGCTTCAGGGTGAAGCTGGATGGGCTGGAGGGAACAGGGAGCTGCTCTGGCGAGGGGACAGAGCTGAGCCCTGCTGTGGCCAGTGCTAGAGGACACCAGGGTATCCAAAAGGCCAGCTCAGGGACACCTGAAGGAAGTGAGCATGGCTGGGCAGAGTAGCAGCAGAACATAGAACACCTGGCCTCAGGTGTCACTTTCCTGGGAAGCTACCACAGTGGTCTGCCTGCAGGTCAGGGCTGGGGTCTCTGCAGATGGCTCAATGAGGGGCAAGAAGGGCTCCTGTCTCTTTGTTCAGCTAACCGAGGAAGGGGATGAGCTATCCAGTCATGAAGTACAGAAGGCCCAGAAACATGGGTTGCCTTTACCTGCCTCCAAGAGAAGCTCTTGCTTCAGGCAAGTAGAACTCACTTAAAAAAAAAAAAGTGATCAATATGAGGGTCCAGAGTCATCCATTCATTTCAAAACATTCTTGGAAACCTTTTCCAAAATGCTTAGTCAAAGGGATTCAGAAACTGAATACGTCTTTATGAAACAGCGGCAATGCTGCAGGCAACAGAAAGATACTGGAAAGCAAGGCTAGGGAAGGGACATGGGGAGAGGGACAGGCACAGGGCTGAGTTTCACGGGCTCCTTCACACCTGCAAAATAAGGCCTGTCTACTTTTACTCCCAACCACGAAGCGTGCTCACGGGGAGATAATGATGTGTCAAATACTCAGTGCACACCAGGCATAGTTCCTTTCACAGACGCCCAAGGGGGAACACTTTGGAAGGAAACCCAGCTATTCCTTCCTGGAGTCCCCTCAGCACACACGGGAACCTTCTGGGGGAGAGGCTGGGACTCAGGGTTTTATGCAGTGCTTTTTGTTTGTTTGTTTGTTTGTTTCTCAAGATACAGTTTCTCTCTGTAGCCTTGGCTGTCTTCGACTTGCTTTGTAGACCAGGCTTGTCTTGAACTCACAGAGATCGGCCTGCCTCTGCCTCCCAGAGTGCTGGGATTACAGGCGTGTGCCACCATGCCCGGCCTTGTGCAGTGCTTTTTTTTTTTTTTTAATTTGGGGGCACATCTCGAAGGACATGTGGCAGTGTCTGAAGGACATGCCACTGTCACAGCTCAGGCACTGATATCACTGGCCTCCAGAGGTCAGGGTGTTGCCGCTGATCTTATAACACTCAAGATGCTCGCTCCCTCCCCTCAAATGTCAGTGCCGGCTAAATGACCGCAGTGTGGCTCTGGGGAGAAGCCCTAGCCCACTTGGTGGTGGGGACAAGATGAACCTTTACTTTCAGGTCAAACAAGAAGGGGAGAGAGCTGTCTGGATCACACGCACTCAGCATTAACTTTAAAGGCGAGGACAGAGTGTTACAAGATGTCATGGGGGCCCTGGTCAGGTTCAAGACCCAAAGCCCTGCAGTCTACTGCAAGAACCATGAGCAGAGCTTCTAGCACCACCTGGGACCTTGGCCCTTGGGGCTGTCTGGAGAGTGACTGGCAGGCAGAGCAGCTGATCACCAAGCTTTCACGGTCAAGATCACTGAAAATCTAGAAAACTTCAGACAAACCACAGCAAGGCAAGCAGACAAAGACGACTGCTTAGTTCAGAAAATGTAACAGCCATGGAGAGAGCTGGAGTCAGAACCCCCTCTTCTCATTCTCTTGCTGGGAAGGCTTGGATCACAACCTGTTCTCCCTGCTCTCTCTACCAGCATTCTGGCCTTTACCTCAGGAATGTCGGTGTCATGCTCAGGGGAGTCTCCGCCATCATCGCTGGTCTTCCTCTTCCTTTTATTTCGGACGCTCTGGATGAAATTTTTGTGGAAGTCGCAGATGTACAGGTGCCTTACCTGATGGGAAGAAACCCAACGTCAGTGTCATCCACCCAATGGGACCCGGGGAGTCAGCGGCCTCCTCTTTTGGCCAGGTAGTAGCGAGACAGATGAGTGCGAGACAGGCCACAGCCTACAACCATAAGGCCAGGGAAGAAGAAATACAGAGGACTGAAGGTACAGCTCAGTGGAAGTACATGCCCAACTTGCGTATCTCATACACACACACACACACACACACACACACACACACACACACACACACTGCTACCACCACCAATAATAACACAGCGCATGAGCACTCACATCTCTACAGTACAGGGAGATGGCCGCAGCTGGGAGAAGGCTCTCTTGACAGGTACGGGAAGGAGTTGTGCACGTGCAGGAGGCAGAGATGGGCAGCATGGACTGGAGATGGCATTCACAACAGCTCACCACTGCAGGGTACCAGTGGAAAACCTGACTCCCGCTGCTTCACATCTGATCCACAAAGGAGCACGGAGAAGCAGAATTCTTACAAAGGAGACCCACATAAAAGAGAGTGGATATTACCCCGGTTTTCTAATAAATACCGCAGCATATTAGTAAAGGTGCCAACAGCGGCTCAAATGTGAAGAGCGTGTTTTTATTTAAGGACGTAAGGACCACAGTTGCCTGGAGGAGCCATTCGAAGACCCTGCGGAACCCAGTGCACGCGTAAAAGGCCTTGGGAAGGGACAGATGGTGCACAAATGTTCTGGGGGGGGGGGCATCTGAACTGAAGTTTAGTCCTTAAATCCCTGAAGATAAAAGTAAGCTGACAGGAAGTCACCATCAATTAATTCAGGCTGTTTTACGGAGGGAATAATGAAAACTGTTTAGTCAGATGAGTATCAGTTTCGTGTGGTTGGGTTAGTGAGTCATGAGTCATTTTGAGTTTATACTGAGATGCTGTCTTGCACACAGCAGGCGCTCAATAAATGCGGATGCACCAATGTACGTACTCTCATATCTAAAAACAGCTTATGCTGGCAAAAGCCACCTCTTACATGGTCACAATCTTGGATGGCTTTGCTGGATTCCACTCTGGCAATGAAGTTTCAGACATAGTATGTGCCACTGTCCTAAAGAGTAACACAGTTGATACAAGACATGGATCCCCGTCCCATCTCTGGCATCTGGTACTTGGGTTGGCAATGCAGCCAAGTGCCTCTTGAGAGAGCAAGCTGCTTCCCAGAAGCACAGTGGTAAACTGAGGAGATTAGCAGAATGGGGGGGGGGAGGGAGGGTTTCTAAAGCTTAGGTGGGAAGGTGTCAGATCCGGAGTGGGGAAGAGGGTCCCCCAAGGCTATGAAACCTTCTGAGCCTTGGTAAATGCCCTCCCCCCAAAAAACACTTTCTTTGCATGATTCCCATTTTCAACCACTCTGCAGAAGTAAAGAAGAAACTTGTCAATTGCAAGCTGACTAGGCATTAATACATTCCAGAGGTGACACGTGTCCACCTGAAGGGCTGTGGGATTTTATTTTAAAAGGGTGCTTGCTAGGTCCTTTTACAAGACAGCCATTCTCTATCCTCAACCATGCTCAAGTCTGAACTGCTTTTCAGCAGCCTCAGGGCTCAGCGGCCTTTGTGGGTGCAGTGGGGCCATGAGGGCAGGAGCAAAGGCTCACAGTGGTTGTCTTTTTTCCCCCCCTTTCCTCTCCTGTTTCACTTGCTACAACAGCTAGAAATTCCCATAACACAGCAGTCACTTGGGATTGAGTTCCTGCCCAAGCCTGTGGAATGAAACAGAAACTCTTTCAGAGACGACCACACCACCACCTTGAAGTGAGACAGTCTGTCTGTCTAAGGACATGCCTTCCCTTTCAAACACTGCCTTTGGGGGAATGCTTGGGCAGGGCATGGGGGGGGGGCTTTCTTCTAGAAAATGTGTGTGACATGCTCAACGGTGCTCTACACGGGTTCCCCACGGGGTGAGTGGGCAAACGGAGTCTCTGCTGCAACGACCATCCAGATGTGGGGACTGCTCACAGAAACACTGCCAGCAGCCCACACAGGAGGCACACATCGTTTCCAGGAGGATACGTTCACTGCCATTCTAGAATTCCCTTTTCATTCCCACATGTGATTATCAGGGGACACCTTAGTGTTTAGCCAGTTTTTGCTTCAGAGTGAATTCACTCATTCATTCACTCATTCATTCATTCCTTCAGACATTTGTAAAAAGAAAGTCCCAATCATTTAAAAACAAAACAAAACAAACAAACAAAAACAAACCAAAACCCCTGAACTATTTCAAAAGAGCCAGACTACAGTGGTTAATTAAATAAACCTGAGTGTGCAAGAGAAGACTCTAAAAGAAAGGACGATGACCTTATTTATTATAGACAAATGAAACTTGGATATAGGGTTTGGAAGCAGGCCAGGTAATGAATGGGTTTAGGAAATTAGCCAGCTTCTAAGTGCAGTGTGCTTGACTCCATTGCTTCCTACGCCCAGCCTCAGCTTCTGCTACATCAGAAGTGTAAAGATGGGCTCTCCTTTCAGCTAACAGGCAATGTCCCATTTCCCCTAACCGTTGGACATTAATCATTCAAGCTCCCCGAATATGACAAGTTCCTTAACTCAGCCCCAATTCCTAACCTGGAAGCGGCCACTCAGGGATTGCAACAACCGATGTGAAACTAACAAGTTCTTAGCCGGTTGGCACGGGCACATCTTCAGAACCGTTAACATCGGTAGGTGAAATCACTCAGGAAGTTTCCTATAATTAGCCACAAGGCGCATTAAAATCCCATTCAATTTCAAATTTCCACATCTCCGCCTCCATCAGCATTACCAAAGACGCTATCCCTCAAGAAAACTGATTCCCCGCCCCCTCCTCCAATCACATCCACAGCAACAGCCATCTAAGACCTGGCCTTGGCCTTATTTGTACCACATCTCAGAACAACTCATTCGCCGCCAGCTGCTGCGCTGCAGAGACCGAGGCCGCGGGAAGCAGGAAAGTCGCGGCCACCTTGCTAGTGTCTGAAAGAACGACAAGGTCCCTGGAGGGAGAACGAAGTTGAAGACCAACCTCCGGGTCCCCTCGTCACCCCTCGTGCCCAATTCTTGCAAAAGTAACCAACCTCTTTCTGCTCTACTATCCGGCGCAACAGTGACAGCTGGAAACTGCTGTCACTTTCCCAGGCAGGGAGAGTGTGCCAAGCCCTCGCATTTCCCTCAGCCCACCCTCGGGATGCGGGCAGCACCGCGGAGCACAGAGCGGCCTCCACGATTCTGAGTCCCCCGTTTCGCACAGACCGCGCGGCGAGGCCCAGCGCGCGGAGCGTCCCCGGGGTCCTTCCTGCGGCCCTGCGCTGCGCCCCGAGACTCACGCTCTTGTCGATGTCCAGCTTGAGTTTCTTCTGCGAGATGCTCTTCTGCACCCTCTTGCTGAAGGAGGCGTTGCCCGCGGGCCGGACGCAGCGCTCGCCGTCCGCGATGAGGCAGCAGCTCTGGCCGTAGCCCGGGGCGGCGGCGGGGGCGGCAGGGGGCCCTTCGCGGCTGTCCTCCTCCGTGCTGAAGCCGTTCATCTCCCCGCCCCGGCCCGGCCCCTCCGGGGGAGGGCCCCTGTAGGCCACTCCGCGGCTGCTGGCCCCGCGGGGCAGCTCTTCGCCAGCCCCGCGCCCGGGTCCCACGGTGCGCCCCGGGTCAGGCGCGCTCTAAGCTCCGCGAGGCCCGGCTGCTCTGTGCTCCTGCAGCCCGGGCCCCGTCGGGGATGCTCAGGCCGAGGCTCCGGCCCGGGCTGACGAGGTTCCCCCGGGATCCGGGCCCGGCCGCCCTGGGGTTCCCGAGGCCCCCGCCGGCTCCCGCCTGCTCCGCGCCGCGCGGCAAAGTCTCCACCCAGCGGCTCCCCGTGCAGGGGCCCGGCCTCGAACCCGCCGTGTCCGGGCCCCGCGGTGAGCACGACCCGCCCCAGGGTCCGGCCGCTCGGCGGCGCCCCGAGTCCCCGCGGCAGCCCCTGGGCCGCCCCGGCCGCCGCCCGCCCGACGCGCCGCACCACAACAGTGCGCTCCCCCGCCCGCCGCGGCACAACGGAAGTCCTGCCTCCGTGCGCTCAATGGCCGGATTCTCTTTATGGGCGGGGCCTCCGTCGCCGCTGGCATTCCCCATTGGGTGGTGCCGCTGCCGGTCTCCGGTGCCAGGCTACTTCCTGGACTCTGCTGGGATGGGTTCAAAGTAGAGAAAGTGCAAGAGGCAAGAGTTAGCCTGGCTAGGGAGGGCAGCGGCGTTCAGTCCTGGTTGTGGAGCAGGATGCTGAGATGGGTCTGGAGGAGTGCCGCATGTTCTGGTCCCAGTTAGGTGATGAGCGGGGTCCTCGCTCCGAGGAGGGATGCTGAGCGGGGTCTGGAAGAAAGCAGGATGTCCTGGTCCGGGGATGGAATGGTGGTGAGCATCTGGCTCTGGGGCGAGATGCTGAGCTGGGTCAGGAGGGACGCGGGGAGGGCTTGCTGAACGGGATGTGGCGGGACGAAGGGTTTCCCCTCCGGGACTGGATGCTGAGCAGCGTCCCCACTCCGGGACGGGACGCTGAGAGAAGACAGGAGATACACAGGGTCCGGTCGAGGGACGGAATGGTGAGCAGATTCCCAGTTCCATCGCAGGATGCTGAGCAGGAACCCGGCTCCATTGTGGGGTTGTGAGCAAGGTGCCAGTTCCGGGACTGAATGCTTAGCTGGGTCTGACAGGCCGCAGCGTCTGGTATACCGCAGGTTGCTGATGGGGTCAGAGACAGGGACAGACGTGCCACAGAGATCACGTTTGAAGTGAACTGAAGCATCATTGTGCGCAGGGAACTGAGGGAAAGGCGTAGGGAGGGGTATGGAAAGGGGACCTTAGGGAGAAAGTGCTACCAGGAGAACAGACTGGGCAAAACGGAAAAGCCTGGGCTGGAAGACCTGCGCGGCCACGGGAGGCAGGGTGCATGACACGGGACGTAAAGCCAGCGTGAAGGTGCAGATGCTCATAAAGAGGCGTGGAGAGACGGCAGAGGTCGGGTATGGGAAGTAGCAACCTCTGGGTACAGCGAGCACCAGGGAAAGAGGGACTTGAGAGTTCAGGGACCAGAGCAGCCTTCCCTGGGCTGGTGGCAGGATGGGCTTTGTAGGCTGAGGCCACTCAGCAAGGCCCTTAGGCCACCGACAGAGGACTCACTATCAGACATTACTGATCTGTAGTTTTATTGCTTCAAGCCACGAAGCAGGGAGGAGGCCACCTTGCCCTGCCAAGGCCAGGGTGCTACCTCGCCCTTCCTGAAAGGACACAGGAAAATTTTCTGAGGGTCAGATCATACATCCAGTAGAGTTGTGGGGGGTGGGGGGGAAGGGTAAAAGGCTGGGATGGGTGTCAGTGTCAGGTAAGCTCTTAAATTCTCTTTAAAGGCAATTTTTTTTTTTTTTTACTAATTTCACTCAGGAGACAGTATATTAGAAAAATACATCTATCAGATAAAATAGAGTATTAGGGCCACCATGGGAGCTGACTCTAATTCGGTGGCAGTGCAGCTGACCAGCACATTCAAAGCTCTGGAATTGCCCCTCCCCCGTACTACTTAAATAGGGTGTGTTGGCACGGCCCTGTAATTCCATCTTTTAGCAGGAGGCTCTGAGGTTCAAGGTCATTCTTGACTACATAACGGGCAGGCCAGTTTTGGTTTTGTGCGATCCTGTCACAAAACAACAACAACAAAAAACAATGTCCATTGTGAAATTGCATATAAATATGCATATATATATATATATATATATATATATATATATATATATATATATACACTCAGTGGACGGGTGACGCATGACTGTAATCCCAGCGCTCTGGGAGGCAGAGGCAGGTGGATGTCTGTGAGTTTGACGCCAGCCTGGTCTACAAAGTGAGTCCAGGACAGCTAAGGCTACACAGAGAAACTGTCTCGAAAAACCAAATAAAATAAAAATACTCTAAAAGTTACCAAAAAGAAGTGGTGAAACGAAATTTAACATCTTCAGAAAATGATGTGCACTCGATTTTTAGGGTGTATTCAGCATCGGTGCATGTGTGTGTTAAAATTCACTATCAACTCTTTATCAAAGAGTGATGGAGAATTGGAGAAATGCCGTTTTCAATGCTGAGTGATGGCACACTGTCGTGCCAACCCCTGAGAAGAAAGCAGCAGGATCAGGAGTTCAGACTCATTCTCAGCTACTGGTTGTTGAACTTGAGGCTAGCCTGGGCTATGTGAGACCTTGCCTCCCCCCCCCCAAAAAAAAAAAAAAAGACAAAACAAGTACATAAAATTGCACGTGGATTGTGATATGTGTGAATCTATGTTAAAATAATACATGCAGGAATGGGACACTGGAAAGATACTGCTCTTCCACAGGACCCCAGTTCATTTCCAAACACCTATGTCGTGTGGCTCACAGCTGACAGTAATGCCAGCTCCAGGAGATTGGGCCTCCCTGGGAGGATGTGCAAGAGCCCCCAACCCCAAACACAACATGACACAGCACAACACAAACAACAATTGCTGGGCCAGTGAGATAGCTCAGCAATAAGCTTCCTGACCTGAGTTCTATCCCCAGGACCCACGTGGCAGAAGGAGAGAAGTGACTCATGCAAGTTGTCCTCTCTCCACAGCCTTACTGTGGCACGAGTGCACCACTCCCCCATAGGAAAAAAAAAGTATGTAATAACCTTTTTTTTCAAAATCAAAAACACACATAGGAAATACTTTAGATTACAAATAGTGATTATTTTGGGGTATCAGAAATGTGGTTGACATTTTTGTACTTTTTCATTTTTTTCTAACAGGTCTTTTTATTTTACAGTAAAAACAAAACAAAACAAAACAAAAGTAGGGCTGGAGAGATGGCTCAGAGGCTAAGAGCACTGGCTGCTCTTCCAGAGGTCCTGAGTTCAAATTCAAGCATCCACATGGTGGCTCACAGCCATCTATAATGAGATCTGAAGCCCTTTTCTGGCCTGCAGGCACACATGCAGGCAGGACACTGTATTACATAATAAATAAATAAGTAAATAAAATCTTTAAAAAAAGAAAAATAGTAATAAATATTAATGGAAAAAATCACAATTTACTAGGAGTCTTGCTGCAGAGTCTATATTCCAGAACAAAGTCTTGAATGTATCATGAGTGCTACATAGAGGGGGTGCTCTCGTTTCATTTCCTGATTTAAAATAACCTGATTTAAAAAAAAAAAAACAATAGGGAATAAGAGGGTTTGTTTGGTTTATAATTTCAGTCCAACACTGAAATTATAAACCAGGAACTCAAGGCAGGAACTCAAAGTATCATCACATCTGCAGTCACAAGTAGAGAGAGAATAGGCATCATGGATCCTTGCTTGTTCTTTACACACACACACACACACACAAAAGATTGTGTGTTTCTATTTTACATGTATCAGTGTTTTACTTGCATGTATGTATGGGAGCACTGCATGCATACAGTGCTCTAGGAGGCCAGAAGAGGGCATCAGATCCTCTGGGACAGAAGTTACAGACAATCTGAGCTACCATGAGGGTGCTGGAAGCAAACCCAGCCCTCTTCAAGAGCAGAAAGTGCTCTGAAGCACTAAATCATCCTCCAATCCTCCTTTCTCTACTCTTATACAGTCCAGGGCCCCAGGCCAGGTAACAGCACTGCCCACAGTAACTAGGGTCTTTCTATATCAACTAACAATTAAGACAATCTCCACACTGAGACATCCCACAGGCCAACTTAATCTAGCTAATTACTCATTGAGACTCTTGTCTGTAGTGAGAATTTGGGTTTCTTTTAAAAACACAGAGATAGAAACTGGGCATGGTGGCACTCACCTGTAATCCCAGCCCTCTGGGAGGCTCAGGCAGGAGGATTTTGTGCATTTGAGGCCAGCCTGGTCTACAAAGGGAGTCCAGGACAGCCAAATACCCCCCCCCCACAGAAGCATTATGGGTATATGTTTTCATTTTAATCCCAGGTGTGAGGATATGAGGCTGTGTCACAGCAGATGACTATGACTTACCTAACGCTTTAGCAGGGGTGTGGTTTTGACAGCTGCAGATAGTTTCTGTGAGTGTGTGATGTTTGGAATTCTTGGAACTTTTCAGAGGATATATAAATGCTAGGGCCCCACAGGTGAGGTGGCTGTTGGTTTGTCAAGTATCCATGGGAAAAGAAACAACAAGAAGAAATTAGATATCCTGACAGCAAAGATCAAAATTACTCCAGGAAACTTGATACTCCTAATCAGCAGGAAGTAGTCTAACGGGAACATAGAGCCTTTTCCTCACTATTCTTCATTTCTTTTCTATCTAGTGTTAGGGGGTTAGAAGAGAGGGTGGAAGAGAGAAAAGGGAACCCACAAAGTAGCAAACAGCTGCTACGCTTCTCAGATGATTTCAGGTTATACCAAGTTGACAGTTAAAACTACCTGGCACCGGTGGCTACAGAAGGAAGCATGATTCTGGCCTCGTAAGGATGCCTTACAGATAGGAGAGTGTACAGAGAACCAAGTCAGTGTGCACTGGCTCAGAGTCCCTTGGTATGGATGTAAGCCCTGTTTTCTTTGCATGTTTTTTTGTTTGTTTTGTTTTTCAAGATAAGATTTATCTGTATAGATCAGAATGTCCTGACTTGCTCTGTAGACTGGGCTGGCCTTGAACTCACGGAGATCAGTCTGCTTCTGCTGGGGCTAAATGCGTGAGCCACCACCCCCTAGCGTCTTTGCTTGTTTCCTATGCTGAGA